CCCAGAGGACTCCAGCACGATGCCCACCAAGAACCTCGGAGAGCACCTGCTCAACGACCTGATCAAGGTGCGTCGCCGAGCGGAGGAAGCCGGCGAGGACAGCCGTCGGGGAAGTGGGCGAGGGTCTGAAGGGGAGACGCGATGGGGTGGAGGATGGAAGAGCACGTGGGGCGGGGGGTGGCGGGGGAGGAAAGATCTGGGTATGCCCTCGAACCGAGCGAAGTCCTCCTCTCTCCTCTCTTTTCTTCCTCGTCCTCCTCTTCCGCCTCGTCCTCCCCTTCCTTCTCCACGTCCCCGCCCTTCTTCCTCCTCTTCCTTCTCCCCCCCATCCGCTCCGCCTTCCCTCCTCTGCCCATCCATTTGTTTTGGGTCCGACCCAGGACCTGGCCCCTGCGCTTAGCTTGCCAGACCGAGCTGATGACCTTCTCAGCCGCCCGATGGGCTCGTCGGGGCCGTCGGCGGACCCCATCTTGGCCGGCCTGCAGTTGGCGCAAGAGCTTGGCGGGCCCGCGGCATTCTCGCCCTCGCCCACCAGGAAGGACGGCAGCCTCGTCGATATCCAGTCGCGGTCGGGGGACCGACAGCCAGACCCTGGGATGATCGGCCGTCCTCGGGAAGAGATTGGCGTCCCGCACCACTTGTCGATACCCCCGCATAGGAAGAGGAAGGCGCCGTCGGCGCCGCGGACTCCGCCAATTGAAGTAGACAGCGATGGCTCGCAGCATTTGGCGGACGAGGATATTGCCCGCCAGTTTCAAGACGAGGAGTTTAGGCGCGCCCTTGAGGCTGGCCCGCCGAGCGCGGGTGTTTCGAGTGGCGGTGGCGCGCCGAGGCGGGCCCGCCGAGCGCGGGCTCTTTCCGCATCGGCTAGCGGCAGTGCGCCTGTCGATCCCAAGTCGGTGGAGAATCCGTTTCAGGCGTTTCGCAAGCCAGCGCGTTGCGATGATTCAGATTGACACGTCAAGGGGCATGTAACACACGTCGTCTCCTCCGCCCCCTCCTCCCCCTCCCCCAGCCCCTCGCCCCCTCAAGCTTCAAACTCTCCTCACGTTGGCGCCGCCTTTGTCGGTGGTGTCGTCGCTGGAGTCGATGGGGGCAGGAGTCGTCGCCTGTTCGTGGGGGAGGGCCCTCCGCTCCAGACGAATTCCAGATTCCAGACTTATTCCAGATACATTCCAGACGTTACGTTTCCAATGTGGTCCCCGCCCAAGCGCCACGCAGTCGGCGCGGGAAGAAGGCAATGCGGTGGCTGCTAGCTGAGATCCAGCATCCACTGCGTCGAACCAACGCACGACCCACGGGAATCAAAATCTGGCGGGGCATTCCTCTACCAGTCCGCAGAGGACCCAGAGCTCTGGAAGGCCCCTTGGGGCCAATCGGGGCCCCGCGCTAGAAAACCGCGTCTACCCCAGGGTTTCAGGACGCGCCCGAGCCACGAGAGTTCCTGACGTCAGACACTGGTGGGGCCAGTAGTTGTTCGAGGCGCGGGCTCTGGTCTCGGCCATGCTACGCCGTGCGCAGATGGGGGGAGGGGTCGCGTATTAGCCATATGTGCTCAAGACTGTGGAGGTTTCTCTTCCTCCTCTTCTCTTCTTCTTCCTGCTCCTCCTCTTCCTCCTCCTCACCCTATTATCTTCTTCCTCTTGTTCCTCCTGCTCCTCCTTTCTCTAGGTTGCTCCCTTCCTCCTCTTCTTCATCCTGCTCCTCCTCTCCGCGTTCTTGTTTTCTCCCCCTCTCTCTCTCTCTCTCTCTCTCTCTCTCTCTCTCTCTCTCTCTCTCTCCCTCTGTCTCTCCATCTCATCCCGCCCACCCCCCTCCCGCATCTCCATCATCCACACATACATTCTATTGCCATGCCGCACAAGAAGCGGAAGGCGAAGAGGTACAGGACTTCCTCGTGGAAGCCCCCCGACGACGGGGGCGCAGCCACTGTCCTTGCCCCGCACTTGGAGCACGCTGCGTTGCAGATGTGCAAGAACAACCTTTATCCCAGCAAGGATTTCAAGAAATGCATTAACACGGCCTTCCTCACGTCGTGCTCTCCGTCACTAGAGGCCCTCGCCACGATAGATCCCCGTGGCGGTTACTTCCGACAGGAGCACGTGCGCAATGCCGCGGCGACGATCGCGGCCAGGCCCGAATGGAACACGAGGATCCAAAAGCTCGCCAGGTGCATGGTGAAATCGCTCGACGACACGATTACGCTGCTGGCCTACGCAGTCAGGATAGTGATGTCGCACTGCAGGGAGAAGTTCACGGCGCGGTTGAACACTGTCGCGAAGAGCGGCCGCGAGGCGGCCGAGGAGCCCAACCCCTCGAATCCAGCGGAGCTCATCAAGATCTTCAAGATATTCGCCACCCACACAGGGGACTCGGTTCCCGCCGCTGCTACTGCGAAGAAGCAGAAGATCCCCAATCCTTTCGCAGCGTTCCGAGACTTGGAGGAGACTGAGGATGATGAAGGCTCTGCTGATTCTGACAGCCATGTCTCTATATCTAGCTCTGACAACGAGATGGTCGACCTCGCCCTCATCGGCACTAATTTCTACAAGGTGTTTGCTAACGGGTCCAAGGTGCCAGCCGTCAGCCTGAAGAAGGGAGCGGCAGGCTTCATCGTCGCAGATTTCGGCGACGAGTCCTTGCCCACCAAGTGCCCGAACGCCAGGCTCATGCCCGACGGCGCGATGCCCAAGCCACTTGATCCGCTGCCAGCCCCTGCCTTGCCCAAGGCCCAGGCGAATGCCCCGGCGAAGGCAGAGGCCTTGGCTGCGGCAGCGGCAGCGTCGACGACAGGGGGCGAGGCAGTGGCAAAACCCGCTGGAAAGGGAAAACCTAGGGCAGGCGCCAAGAACGCGGCTGTCTCTCCACCAGAGTGGACGGCCCCTCCTGGATCAGACATCGTCGAGATACTCGAAGACGAGGGCGATCCAGAGGCGGCCGAGCCAGTCGAGGCCAAGCCAGCTCCGCTAGCCGACGGGGGCGGTGATTTGACCCCCATCGCTCAAGGTCACGCCAGGCCACAGCGGGATTTCGACGCTCCTCCTTTTCACAAGCTGGTCAGACAAGATGTAGATCCTCGGCGCGAAGCCCAGTGGGGCCCCGAACCCAGAGGTCATCGCAACGATGGTGAAAAATGAATTGACGGAGTATGTGAGCACCTTGACAGGGAAAGTGAAGAGTTTGCCCGATGGGGTCGGCGTTGATTTGAGGGCTAAGGCAATGGCTAGCAAGAACGATAACCTTTGCAAGATAGGGTTGAATGTGAGCAAATAGTCGCCTAGCAAGGCTGCTTCATTGTTGCGTACTGATGTTGCGTTGGCATGCTTCGCATCTCGCCAGTTGGAAAAAATATCAGCAATCGCCATCATCGACACCATCGCCATCGTCATTTCCATCGTCACAATGATCTCCAGATTGGGTCCGATATGAATCGCATTTCCCCCCCCCCCCCCCAGTGGCATGTTTTTTTTTCACGGGTGCTCGACCCCCCCCCCCTGGGGCACCAGTGGGGGGAGGCCTGTCACTTCTTCGCGCCGATTGGCTGACTCCGATTCCGACTCCCATCATCCCTAAACCTCCCCACCCTTCTGCGTGGCTTGCACAATTTCGCAAAGGATCTTCCATTACCAAGTCCCTTGGGAACCCGCCCAACCGCGGCGACGAGGGCCCTCCAGGAGGTCCGAAAAGGTTCGTCGTGGAAAGCTGCTTGGCAATGTGAGGGAACAGTTGGAGGAGGAGGAGGAGCAGGAGGCGGAGTTGGAGGCGGAGGAAGGACATGCGCTTTCTGTGCTCGCTTCCCTTGCCGCTGCGTCTTATTACGACCTCGAGTTCACTGAGAAGGCCAGCTCGCGCCGCTCGTCTGCTGCCTCCTCTGATTCAAGAGATCGGGTGGCATTGCCGTGGAGGGGCTCGGAGGAACCCTGGGGATGTGTATTGTTTTTGCCACGCGCACAAAGCCTATGGACGTTTCAAAACATTTCCTCCTGGGCCGAAAAGGCTCCCCGAAAATCTTGAACAGTCCGCCTTCGAGTCCCTCCGCGCCCCCGCGCCCGCTCGCGCGCGCGCCGAGTGTCTGGAATTTGGTCTGGAATCTGGAATTTGGTTTGGAATCTGGAATCTGTAATTCGGTCTGGAATTAAAGAAAACCTTTAAAAACAAAGCTAAAATCAAGATTTAGGATAAGTTCATCAATTCCAGATTCCACATAAAATTCCAGATTCCACGCAAATTCCAGACAAATTCCAGACACCTGGCGCGAGAGGGGGGCGGCGCGGGCGGAGAGGAGCGCGCCGCGGTCGGATCTGGCGTCGGCGCCTGCGGCGCGCCGAGCTTCCCGGAGAAAGCACGTCGGGCAAAGCAGAGTTCCGGAGACATGAGACCGATAATCGGTTTTGCTTGGATCCCCATGGGAAGCCCCATCCTCCACTCCTCCACCCCCTCCGTTGCCGTTTTGGCTCGCAGCGCGCAGAGAGAACACATCTCGTTCCAAGGTGATCGATAAATCTTTCGAGCTTGAGATGGCGGCGGCACCTTCCATCGATGACATCGAGGCGGCTCTGAAAGCCGACTCGAGGGAGACAGAATCCGAAGCCGTGGAGGGCGAAGCCCCCGCCCCAGGCCGCGGCAAGCCGCGCGGGCGCGGGCGTGGCAGGGGCCGCGGCAGAGGCCGCAGCGGAGCCACGGGCGGCGCTTTGACGGAGGCCGTGGAGAAGAAGGGCCGTGCACTTCTCAAGAGGCCTGCCGCTGCCAAAGCCATCGACGATGACAGCGGCACCGACGACGAGGCACTGATGAGAAGAGGCTCATCCGACGATGAGGCACTGCTCAGGAAGAGGCCCGCCGCCGCCTGCAGGCCGCCGAAGAGGGCTAAGAACGCGCTTGACGGTCAGCCTCCAGCAGCTGGGACCCCGGGCGCCTCGACGGCATGAGCCGACTCGCCCATGGCTGCCAAGTCGCCGCCTCCGCCGCCGCCTGAGCGGGTTGCCGGGGGCTTGCCCAAGGCCGTGGCCAGGCCCCTCGCCGCCAAGGAGGAGGAGCTCACGACGACCGAACAGGAGGAGATCGACAGGCTCGCGAGGAAGAAAAAACCTTCGTCCGTTGAGGAGGCCAGGGGGCAGCTCACTCAAGCTGGCGTGGACTGGAAGAAGGTGACAGCGGGTGACCTCAAGGACAAGCTGCCCGAGGAGACGCTCAAGCGGCTCTTCTCCGCCTACGGAAACACGCTCGGCCAGTGCCCTGACTTGATGAAGAGGTACAAGGTTAGAGGGGGCTATCAACGCTCCTTACCCTTACGTTGACGACGAAGACGACGACGATGACGACGACGACGACGAAGACGACGACGACGACGACGACGACGACGCCGCCGCCGCCAGGGCTCGGCCAAGTCGGCGGACCAGAAGCGGGAGTGGTTGGCCAGGTTCGCGGTCGATTGCAAGACCGCGGGCGTGGACCTAGCGGCCAAGAGCGACGCGTCGGTGGGCCGCGTGGAGGCGGACCACAAGGAGTTTATCTGGATCACAGAGAACCAGATGGCGGGCCCGATGTGCGCCAACTCCAAAGAGGACGCGGCTATCACGAAGGAAGGCATGAGCAAGCGCCCCCACGAGGACCCCAACATGTGGGCCCACAAGATCTACCAGTACAAGTGGACATTCAAGAAGGAAGTGGAGATTAACAGGAAGGAGGAAAAGACCACGATGTCTGCTGAGGCGGCCATGAACCCAGACGACTACACCATGGCGCGGGGGAGGATGCTGGGCGCAAGCTTCGGAGATCAGGGGATCGAGGACGCAACCTACCCAGCGGAGGACAGCGCGGGCAAACCTCGCAAGGGGAAGACGCCCGAGCAGAAGGAGGCCGATACGAAGGAGAAGGAGAGGCAACGCGCTGAGCTGGAGCGCGAGGGTCCCGAGAAGGCTGCCTTGGAGAAGGCTAAGCAGGAGTTGACCACGGAGATCGCGAAGACCAAGAGCTGGTGCCGCGTGGCCACTGGTGAACTCGGCGACGTGCCTGCGCTGGCCGCGAAGCTGGACTTCAAGGGTTTCCCTGCGGCCATGGGCCAGTTCCTCGCGGCGAAGAGAGCGGGGCACGGGATGAAGGTCAGCGCGCTGAACGACAACGAGTACACCGCAGCGAAGGTGATCCTCGGCAAGGCCGACTCCACCGTGGACGAGATCACGCAGTCCAAGAGCACGCTTGAGACCCAGCGCAAGCAGACGGAGGATTGGGGTTCGATGGAACTCCTCCTCCTTATCCTCCTCGTCCTGCTCCTCCCTCCTCCTCCTCCTCCTCCTCCTCCTCCTCCCCTCCTTCTCCTCCTCCTCCTCGTGCTCCTCCTCCCTCCTCCCCCTCCTCCTCCTCCTCCTCCTCCTCCTCCTCCTCCTCCTCCCCCTCCTCCTCCTCCTCCTCCTCCTCCTCCTCCTCCCCTCTTTCGAAATACTTTCGTAGAATTTCCCGGCCTGGCTCGCGGGTGCTCGACCCAGGGGAACTCCGGACGAATTCCAGATTCCATATAAATTCCAAATAAATTCGATATAACTTCCAGATTCCACATAAATTCCAGATGTCTTCCACAGGCCTTTCGGGGCCCCCAGGCGAATTCCTGACGTTCAGAACGGGGAAGGACAGGAGGAGGAGGGGGTGCTGGAGGAGAAGGGGGGGGAGTGTTTTCTGGCCAGTGCCTCGACGAGAGATTCCGAGCGGCGGCGCTGACGACGGATGAAAGGGCGGGGGGCTGGTCGGCACCCTCCCGAGGCTGCCTTCGACAAGTTCAAGAAGGATAACCTTGACGCCATCAAAAAGATGAGCTGATCGCTGCTTTCGGCGCGGGGGCGCGCACGCGCCGCTGGGGGTATTCGGCGCGTGGCACGACAGAGTTTTATGGGGGGCTGAAGCAATGCGCAACACCACTCCTCAGCCCCCTCACTTCCCATCGACCCTCCTCGACTTCGCCCCTTGCCCCCTCCTCGATTGGCGCATCATTGCTTCGGCCATTCTTGCCCGAGCACCCGCCGTGGTGCTGCAAGGCGGCATCCGCCGGCGCCTGGTCGACCCCCCGAGCGCCCCTGCCCCATTCGGCCGCCGCGGGCGCGGCGCCGCAGGCTAGGATATCGGGGCCCATTGCAAAGCTGCTGGCCGCGCCCCGCCACCCAGAAAGATAGCAGCGCTAAACCAAGGGCCTGCGTAGGCCATCTGCCTCGGGGGGCAGCTGGGGAGCCCCCCCCAATCTCCCTCCCCGACGCTACCTATTCAACGTATTTGTGGCGCGGCTTCCTCCCGAGGCAGATGGCCGACGCCCCTCGGGCCCCAGCGCATGTTCGACTTCGGCGGGGGCGAGCCGGACCGGTGTTTTCCTCAAGAGGAAGGTGTTTGAAGGCCAGATTCGAGCTCCAGACGTCGTGGAGGGCCCCCAAGCAATGGTCGGGGATATGGGCTCCGAAGTTCCGTCGGATATTTATGGTTGGAGTAAAGTTCAGAGAACGAGTAATAATGTTCACCGAGATCTCATGCGGAAGCTCCAGAGATGCGACGCCCCAGAGGTGCATAATGCTTTTATCCCGTCCTGGCAATATAACAAGAAAGCACGCATGAAAACTCATTTCATTCTCCCTCACGAAATTTTGCATTGGTTGATATCTCCCGAATTGATGAACGAGTGGGCGAGCTTCGAAGACGGCTTTAAACCCATGAGGGAAAAAGTGGCGCAATGGAAGCGCAAGTGCAACATCGAAAATGATGAAAAGGTGGTCGCCCTGTCTATTTTTGGGGGCAGCGCGCCATGCGCCAACAAGGATTCGGTCTACCTTCTCACGTTTCAGATCGTATCTGGCACGTCGTCGGCCAAGCCCGTCAGCAGGCATCGGAGGTTTTGGTTCTGCGCTTTCCCCAAGAGGCTCCACGACCGAAAATCTTCTCCACGCCCCATAGGCGGAATAATTACAGACAGATTCCAGATTCCAGGTACATTCCAGACCATTTCCAGAAATATTCCAAAGCGCAGGAAACATGCAAACCATTATTCCGCCAGGGGCCCTTGCAGGTGCCCCCCCCCCCCCTGGGGCACCTGTGGGGGGAAGTCTGTCACTTCTTCGCGCCGCGATGGGGCCGATTCCGATTCCGATTCCGAGTCTCCTATATTCCTCACCTCTCCCTTGATCTACTGCCTTCTCCTCTCCTCCTCCCGTCCCTCCGCTCCTGGCGCTGGGGTCGACGGCGGCGTCGGGGCCTGATCGCGCCGCCCCCCGAAGAAGAGGGATATCGATAGGAGGAGTGAGAGGGGAGAGGGCGGAACCAACACATAGGCTCGTTTGCCAGTGCGGGTGCGCTGGGCGATGCACGTTTGAAGCGGTTTGGCGAATTCTTCGGTGGAGCTTGGAACACCTTGTCGAGGGCTCTCACCCCGCGTGTCGCCATGATGACATTCCGTTCAACGTGTCTCGTTGGCCAGGGGACAGGGCGAGAAGTGAGGTGGTGGGGGCCCCGCTGAATGCGAAGGCCGCCGTTTTGCAGGTGAAGGGCGACTGGGCTTGGTATAAGCAAGCCTTTGATCTCCAAGGGTGGAAGGCTGGCCCGAATGCTGCGCGCTGGCGTTGCCCAGCAAATTCGGGCAATTTCGATTTCAGAATCGCTCATTGCGACGCACGTTGGCGGGGTAAGGCATACACGCACGAGGAATTCATGGCTTTAGCTGCGGCTGCGAATCGTTTTATCAGTGAGGTTTTCAAATTCCCAGGGGTGCAGATCGAAATGGTTGCCATCGATGTGATGCACGTGTGCTGCCTGGGGGTGTTGCAGGTGCTCTTGGGAAATTGCACGTTCGAGTTGTACAGGTCGGTAGGCGGGCTCATGGACCCCCAGCATCCCCGAAGTAAGCATGCCGTGAGTATCCTCATTGCCCCAATCAAGCAGATGGCAAAACAAAAAAAAAATGACCGCTACGGAGAGTCGCCCATCAATCATTTGACAACGCAGATGTTCAAAACAGAAGGGAAAGGCCCGAAGATGAAAACAAAAGCAGGGGAGGGCCGTCGGCTCCTCATCGTGCTTGTAGGGATGCTTCAGGAATACTACCCCAGCGTTACCCCCCACGACCAACTCAGACTTCAGTGTGTCGAGGCCATGCATAACTTATACGAAGAGATGGCAGCTTGGGACGCCGTCCGCTCGCCTGGGAAGACTCGCTTGTTGTGCGTGGATTTCGTAACTCTTTACGGGGAGTTGTTTCGTGAGGCAGCCTCCGTGAATCCGAACACGATAGATTGGAAGATGACGCCCAAAATCCATTTGGTGCACATTTTCGAGATGCAGGTCCCGTGGGACGGCAATCCTCGGGAGACCTGGAACTATGGAGACGAAAGTGCAATTGGAGAGGCTGTTAAAGTAGCCAAAACTTGTCATTGCTTAACAATCTCCACCGAATTAATCACCAAGTACAGGGTGTTGGATTTAGCCGCCCTGTTGGACGAAGGCGATGATTAGCGCTGAATGCGAAAATTGTAGCATTCCACCCCTCTTCCCTCTCCTCCTACTGCCTCCTCCTCCTACCTCTGATCCCCCTTCTTCCCTTACCGTCATTCCCGAGAGGCTCGACGAGAGTTTCCAATCTGCGGCGCTGACCTCAAGCTTCCCTCATCCTCCTCCGTCTTGCAAGCCCTGCCCCGTGGCACGTGGTTGGCCTCTCGGATCGGCGTCGGTTGGAGTCGGCGCTGGGGTCGGCGCTGGCGTCGGACCCGACGGAGAGAGAAAGGAAGGACAGTGTGTACGCGCGTGCGCATGCACATGACATGGAATACCACGTTTATCAATTTAGGATTTTAGCAGTATTACTCATTTTTTATTGTGGACGCAGTGTATTTATTGTGGTGCGACAACGTCTAAGATAATTTTTAGGTGATCGTGATAAAAGTGATGGCTTTTATTCTGAAGATAAGATTTTATCTATTCGGATCCTCTGGGGCATTGACAAAATCAAGCCGGAGGCTTTTCTGAAAAACGGCTCAGGATGAGAAACTGGTCCTGGGGAATGGGTCGAGACCTCCAGGGACCGAGCATTGAAAAAACCACGACGTCGGATCTCTGGGGAGCAGGGGGCGCCTGGACGCGGTGGGCAGCAGCACGCGCCAGTTGCCCAGGCCACCTCTGGGCCCGGCCACAGCAGCCCGGGGCAGTGCCGCATGAGGTTGCACGTGCGGCCGAGGGTCGCGAGGCGCGCGCCCGTCCTGGAAAGGCCGCTGTCACCCTGCGGCTCCTCGGCGCCATCCTGCAGCAAGCCAAGGTCCAGGCGGTGCAGGGGGCATGCACGGGCGACGGTGCGCGAGGCAACGCAGATGCACCGCCAGGCGCCGCGACACCGCATGTGGTGCGAGATCTGGTCCGTGCTGTCCTCGCAGCTCCACCGGCGCCCAAGGTGGGGGTATATCCCACGTGCCTGCAGTAGGGCGTGGGCCAAGCGCTGGCAGGGGTGCGCAAGGCCGCCCAGCACGTGCCCGCGGCAGCGACCACAGTCTGGGCTTGCAGGCGAATCCACCTCTGGCGACGGTCGGCAGGGACCGCCAGGTCTGGCCACCACTGGCCATCGCTCGGACGTCCATTCCCTGTGTTTCTTTCGGTTTCGTGCGTGGTTTTTTCGCCACATGATCAAGGATGCTCCTCGATGGTCCTCACCGAAAGAGACATGCACACGTCCGAGCGATGCCAAGACCATGCTCGGAGGCGGCGCCGGATGGTGTTCTGGAGCCTTTTCTGGGAAGAGCGCCTGGGCGGCGGCGTCCGCGTGAGCTCGCTGCAGGCGGCGCCGAGCTCGTAGCTCGCAGCGGCAGCGGCCGCACCGAGCCCGAGAAGGAGGAGGAGGAGGAGGAGGAGGAGGAGGAGAAGGAGGAGGAGGAGGAGGAGGAAGCGGACTGGTGCTCTGGAGCCTTTTTCTGGGGAAGAGCGCCTGGGCGGCGGCGTCCGCGCGAGAGCTCGCTGCAGGCGTGCCTTTGCGGCGAGGAGCAGCGGCCGCGCCGAGCCCGTAGCTCGCAGCGGCAGCGGCCGCACCGAGCCCGAGGAGGAGTAAGAGGAGGAGGAGGAGGAGGAGGAGGAGGAGGAGGAGGAGGAGAAGGACGAGGACGAGGAGGAGGAGGAGGAGGAGGAGGAGGAGGAGGAGACAGCGCAGAAGGTGCCAGTGGGAGGGCGCGCGAGGAGCGCTGGCCTGGG